AATTAAAAAAAACATACAGCAACAACAGCAACAGCAATAACAGCAACAACATCATAAAGGATAGAAGGCCAAGGCAGGAGGTCGTCACTTTTTTGTCGAAAAATAGATATTGAAATTTTGGAAATTAAATTGTCTAGCGCGGAGCGCTTTGAAAATTGTCAAGTAAATGCAATCCCATAGGCAATGCCTATTTATTATTACAGGTTCTTGGTTAATTTATTAAAATGTTCATTCTTTTCCCATAAGTGATCTATTGTTTTTAATTGAAAATAATAATCTGTAGAAATTCTCTCACTACGTGATCGCAAAGTCTGTAGAAAGTACAACCCGTGAGGCAATTTCGAAACTAGTAGTCTCCTACGTCATACCTGATAATATTCGAATATAACAATGGATAAACGTAAGTTGACATGATTTCAAAAGGCAACAGAGTGAAAATCAGAAAAAGCCCCAATCACAACTGCAGCGTGATACCAAAATGAATTCCATAAAATGATATTATGAAACGTACTTTGTGATTTCATGAAATAACCAATGCAGACAAAAATCTTATCTTTTCATTAAAGTATAGTTTTTAATAGCTAGCTTTCTTAAACTGGACTAAAAACAAAGACCGTACCATGAAGTTTAAACAATTATGGCATGTGACGCAACAACTCAATCAAGATGTCACGAAATATAAGATCACCAAACAAAATGTACACAGAATGAATTCTAGCTTCATACAATAAAAGTATTCATATAAATAAACACCAAAGTTATTTTATTCGAGAGTCTCACGACACAGAGCAAAAGATTACATTTATCTATGAATGAACTTAATAATGATTTTTTTTCTCCTATAAAGAGTGTTCACATTTCAAGCATTTGATTATAAACGTATTCACAATTCATATCGTCACTGGACATGATATTCAATAGACGGCTCAATAAAGCCCGTAAAGAGTATAGCACAAGCATTTCGGAAGGTTTGTCTTGTTCAAGCACAGAAGAGAATATTTTTTATATTAGCTGCGATATGAATAATAATGTTGGTATTAAATGTTGTTTAATACCATAAAACCAGCAATGGATATGAAACACAGAAGAAATGCAACTGTGCGATTTAATTCACGATAAAAGAAAGGTATCAACTGCCAGTCACGTCGTTAGACGATCATGAAAATCAACGAATGTGTTACCCATTCAGTTAATAAAACAAACATTTATTCATTAGATCACTTACCCGAACGATAATAAATCAAATACATACATCGATAAAACATCTAATAATTCCATAAATCAATGTAAATCAAGGTCAATGGGTACCTGGCAGGAATTAATTCCTTGAAATGCTAGAGCGCCGTAATGGCAGCCATGCTAAAGCCGGGGTAATAATTTCCAAAGCTCTTTGGAAGCGCATAGAGACGTTATAATGTGATATGCGCTATACAAGAACCGAATATTTATTATATTATTATTATTATTATCATGTAGTAAACAAATAATTTATCCAAGTGGTCAATCATTGCCTATCAGAAACTAGAAACCGATTCTGACATCAAATGATACACTAAATAATGCAAAAGATGCAATGACTCTTTGTCAGCTTAAATCAAATGTTTGTTTAGTTTCACAATCAACAACATCATATACATACAATAACATATTACTAAAACACAAGTGAGATGATAGATCAGTGACAATTATATTTACAATTGCTCTACTAAAAAAATCCCCATATTTCTAAATTTGCTACTACACAGAAAAGAATAGCAACCATTCTTTGCTCAGCTACCATTAGTTATTAAATTTTCCAACAGGATTATAAAAAAGGTCAAACAATGTATGAATTATAACTTTGAAGGGAAACCACGATTCTCAATCTTTCAAAGATTGTACCAAACAAATGAAGACTTAGCGAGTCTTTCCCCTCCTTGCCTCCTCATGCACACGGTCTTTAACTGTAGTTTTAACTTAAATTTTCATTTCAAGATTAAGCATGATTATAAAGAAATATGGCATACAATTTGTTTTCTTTTCGTTATTTGAATAATTTGTTCTTAAAGTGAACCGTTAACATTGTTGAAGGTAGATGAAAAAACTGCGTAGTTCGTGTATGAAATGTTACTTATTATATTCCTTCTACCGTACTAACCCTCTAACATGCAAAACATCCTGAAAACATTCTCAAACCGCAAAGATATTTATGGTTTTCTTTGAAGGCGTCACTGTACACCCTCTAACAGTAAATTATCCCAACCAATTTTTTAATTTTTTCAACCGTTTTCCAAGACTTAAAACAGGCTTTAAAAAATGTTTCAACACTCAAATGTTTGGAATGGTATATAGAGCCAATTCATTGCTTTGTGACGATTTACATTCGTATAAATTCAATTAAATTATAATAATGTAGTTGGGAGAATTCAGGAATCGATCAGATCAGGTTTTCCCAATCGGTTTTCATTAATAATGGTCCGTTTTAACTCAGACTTTCAGATTATCTTTAATTGTACATCTAGCATTGAAGTGTCTACCTTAGCACCACTTTTTCTCATGTGAACAATGGTAACAAGTCCCTTTAAAGGGTGCATGACTCCAAAGCATGATACAATGGAAACAATAGAGGGAACCCCGTTAATTAATCATATATATACATATTTCATTTGTCAGGACTTCAAAAATAAACTGCTTACAAGACCAAAAGCCCACGATGTAATGACAAATTCTTGTCCCAAGAACTTTCAGTAAATAAATTGTTAGAAGGACCTCAAAACTGACGTATCGGTCTCTTGGGCTGTCAGTCTCGATGTGCGCCGGTCTCGTGAACCATCGGATAATTCTTGTATTGAATTCCTGCTAGACGGTGTGTCGGGATTTCGGTCTCGAGGGCTATAGCCATGTTCTGGTGTATATATATATATATATATATATACACACATTTAATACTTCAACTCGTGTATTTCATGGAGTAACCCCATAATCTTAGAGAGATTGATTTCGGCCTGGTTAGGTACATCGTTGCATTGCTCATCCGATTTCAAATTGAACGTTGGAGGATCCAAAATCACAAAGGCCTTCTGGATTCTACTAGCTCCATCCTATGAAATGAAAATCAATTGAAATCAACAGTCACGATGATTAATACAATGATAATTTTTTACAATATAAATAACACGAATTCGTAAGTTGTGCTTTTTATTAGGAGATATTGTTAGCCTAGTATTCATTATAATGTAAATATCTCAATGTGTGTTATCCATATCAAGTAAGATTATAGGCCTAGAATTTGCATTTTAATTATTTGTGTGTGTTAAAGATAAAGTTGAGTTCTGGTCATGCGATTGCATAGTGAAAGAAAAGATGTGGAATGGATCAGAAAAAGATGATCATGTAGCATGTAAGTATTGGTGTGTACTGCGAGTTTCTAAGTCATCAAAATCATAATAAATTTGGCCCAGTCTTGGTAGTAACAAGCACTGTACACAGAAAGATGTATATGGGACTACTTACATGGTGTTGGTATCTTGATTTCCTTATCTTTCTATGCTCATTACTCAGCCAGTATACATTTTCTACCAAAGTTGTTTGGCAAATGACATTTATTTGTAATCTTGAACATTCAGTGTATAAACTTTCGTTTGATTCTGTGAGAATTTTTTTTTTAAAACCAGAACTCAAGTTTATCTTTAATGTCGTGTTGGTTTATGTATGTGGGTATACTTTATAATTTATGATATTATAAGACGTGGGGTTCCAGGCTCATCTTTGGAGCATTACAATGCGTGATTCATGTAGAGAAACTTAAAATGTCGACTGCGTTTGATTAAATTTTTTTTTAAAAATGAATAAATAAAATTACGCACGCAACAATGATAGCAAATAGTTTTCTATGGATTTTTGTTTAAATCATCACTTTCTTACGGTTATTCAAAGTCAAAGTCATTGTGACTATCTACTTTACTTTGTAAATATCAAAATCGAAGTTACGATAATCGTATAATTTGGATGTGAAATCAAGAGGCCGACAGTGAATTTTATTTATCTCAACTAGCATGGCCAAGAGGATGATGGATTTTATGATGGAAAATTGCACTAAATTTTGCTCAGTTTTAATGGAAACAAGATATTTTTCTACTAGTATGTCAAAGCAGGCCTTCGTTAGAGATTGACATTGTTTCTTCAAATAAATTTGTGGGAGAATAGCATAAAGTAGGTGAAACCACACTATTCTTGATCAAAATCTGATGATTAATTAATTGATGATATCAACAATTCTAGATATAATACTGTACTTTACTCACTATGTGAACTACATGTTCTTTAAACATCCATCCACGGTGTTGCCAGCCTTTCTCAAGAGAGCATGTGATTGGTTAATGTCTCGTCGGATGACCTCAAGTTCTTGTCGGGTCAAGTCACGAGATACACTTTTCAACCAGTGTTCAAGGTGCTGCGCTACCAGGACGGGCCGATTAGTAGCTTCAGCCGTAGAACAGCCGTCTCCATCCCCAAAGCTGCTCTCTACATTTTACAAAAAGGAGACAACGAGCGTTGAATTTAAAAAAAGTTACGTACATGTGAACACGATCGTATAGACGTTCAAGAAATCAACTTACGAGCAATTGCAATATACTATTGTACTGCCTATAGAAATCATATTGCGTAATATATCACTGTCATATTCGCACATTGCAACAGGTGATGCACAAGGATATTGATATTGTCTTAGGTTGATGGTGTGAAAGTATTTGCAATCGCCTTTGTGGATATTAAATTCAAATATGAAACGCTGGAAAACCCTATGTGAAGTATTGAATGAAAACTCTTTGAGAGAGAGTCTCGGAGTAAAGAGAGATAGAGATTCAGAGATCGTGGGATCCGGTGAACATTTACCACAATTCCATCACTGAAAATTCATGCAGAACTTGTATCGTAAAGTTCACCTCCAAAAATGGCTGTCTCCGTAATATTGTTGATAGGCCAAAACGTTTTAGTAATGCAATATGGCGTACCAATCGTTTTATTTTCTTCTGTAGCTGACTCGGCAGATTTCTTGACCTTCTGTTTCTTCCCATGCAAACTAGAGAGTGTATAGAGGTAAGGGTTGAGAGACGAGTTGACAGGGAGGACGAAAACAGCAGTCCAGGCATACACCTATCAAAAGAATAAAAGAGAAGAAGACACTTTCAGCAAATAGGGAGCAATCTTCGAACAACCGAATTCAATAGAAACAAGCTCCGATACAAGCCGAGAGCAAAATAAAATAATATCACATTTCAACAATGATTCTATAATGAAAATAAATAAACAAATTTAAATGCACTCGCTCATCTGCTAATAATTTAACAATAATATTTTAATCTGTGTTCGATTGTGGTAATGAATGGTTATTATGGAACCAAGGTCAAAGTTTTAGAGCATCATTTTTACGGGAATCAGATATCTTATTGAACACCTTTCTTATATCTGCTGCCTCTACTAAGGAAAGTCTGCACTCCTCACCGAAAAGGATATTTGCATTCCACTCAGCCAGAAAACAGGAACAGTTAGTGTTTCTGAATTTATTTTGTGTATGTAATGTTAGTTACATATAATTTTTCGGGTATTCACCTGAGCCGATATAGTAAGTTTCCCTGCCGCTGACAAGAGACCCATGACGATGATCGGGAACCAGCAAATTAGATCCGTTCCGACAATCAGTGACATCTTCCATGCCAACTTGATATCTTCAGTCAGTCTTTTGTCATCTCTGGAACCTTTACCTGTCTGAGCAAGCATCTGTTTGGAATGTTGATAGCGGATGTACATGGCCATGTAACAGAGCAGAGTCACAAGGAAGGCTACAAAATTGGCTCCAATGAACAAGGAGATTGAGTAATGCCATCCTGCAGGACGATCAACCGTCAGAGGCAGGGCCAAACAGACCCCGGACTGTCCGTAGAAGTTACCTTTGCTGTACGCTGGGATTACCACAGGTAGGACGCTAACCAGAGTCCCGATGCACCAGATGATTAGCTGAGAACATCGAGCAGCCGTGGGAGAGAGATGGAGTCCTTGTTTGAAGGGGAGAAGGATGTGAATACACCGGTCAACACTGATCATCATGATAAACATGACAGAAGCCTCACTTGATATGACCGAAAGCATCCCCGCCACCTTGCAGAGGGCGCTAGACTGTCATTCATCAGCATGCAAGGCATAGTTTCCTCTGTAGTAGATATCAGCAGATGCAATCGTGATCATGTACAGACCCATCATAAAATCAGAAACGGCCAAATTCGTGATGAAACTGGACTGAACAATGGTTTTTCTGTCTTTCTTTTGTTTGAATACCCTGTATGCGAAGACGAACCCGTTTCCGATGAAAGCACTGCCTCCTAAAATCCAGATGAAAATCCGTAGAACTCCACTGGCCATGAGTTCTTCGCATGATGAGAATTGATCACGTGGTGCATTGCATCCGACCGAATCCACCAATCCAGCGAGACAACAGAAGACGTAGCGGTCAGCATGTCTATTAAAAGAAATATCATATATCGGTAACGTTTAGAAGCAATAACATGCTGACTTGAAATGTATTGCAAGTATAGTAAGTATGAAATAAAACTACGTCAAATTTATTAGGACCCTAGTAGATAGAGGCATCTTTAGCGAATTCATAATCGCATTATTATCCTTGTTTGTACATGTTTATTATGATAATTTTGACTATTAACTATTAACTATAACTTTCATTTAAGTAAAAAAAAAAAAAAAAACACAATGAGGAAAGATGACATTTGTGATGAGTCTTACAACCATTTTCTCAAAATATTCTGATACGTGACCTTTTTTTGCGTATACAGTTTACTGTACAAATAGTATTTTTAATTGCATATAGGCTTATTCTCAGTCTAGTGAAGAAGCAATTAGTTGCATGAAATGATCGAAAGAACTCTGTTTCTGGAAGACTTTGGAATATGAAAATATATAAGTATACAGGGGAAAGGGACATTATAATAGTAATCCAAACACAAACTTTATCTTTATCTTTTGGGCCACGTATACAGGGTTGCCCTTGATCTCCAATGATTTCGGATAGGTTTTGTTGTGTGGATGTGACTGGGCCATTTGTACAAGCATTGCACAGAAATAATAAGTCAAGAGGTAGGTACTTGAATAATTTTAAAAATTACAAATTTAAATTCACAGCTCGAATTTTCGACGTTTCCTAACAGTTTCCTCAAGGCCAATTTTTTGTATAACTGTTATCAAATTGTCAAAAATGTTACATCAAATTATCATTGGCTACAACGCATTACATTCCTTGGTCTTATAATTTCTGTTTATATTTTTTTTTAAACGAACATTTTCTGTAGGTTCTCCAATCCATGGAACATATCACGTCCCGTGTCTGTTGTAACGGTGATGGTGGTCCCACGAAGATCCCTGCAAAGAAATCCGTAAATCATCTTTTTTATTCGTTAACACGATCGCAATCACGAAAAATCAACCTCAGGCGATTGCAATATAGCCTAGGTCATCGCTTATTGAATCGTATAGTAACACGATAATAGGGACTTTTAGATTTGCACGTCGACATAGTGGACTGCTACTTGTGTCCTTTTAACGCACTGGCAGTGCCTTAAAGGATGTCAAACGTAGCATTCCGCTATGTCGATGTGCAAATCTAAAAGTCCCTAATGACGCCGTACCATGTATTACATGTAATAAGAGCATGATTTTTGATGGAGTACGCTTAGGGTATTAAAATTGCCTTTGAATTGATTTCTGTAAAGTTACACAGGTTTTTAGTGTACAAGTATTAAGCGTTTTTAATTATTATGGCAATATTCTATCTTGGAGATATAAACGCGGTCAACCAAGTAATAATTTGTGATTTATATGCCGTGGTATAGTGGTTGATTCTCTTGGCTCTCAATCCATGGGTAGAAGAATCGAATCCTAGTCCGAATCTAACGTCCTTTAGCAAGACATTAATCCACATTTGCCACTATCCACCCAGGTGTTTATGGGTACTTGGCAATACCTGGGGTATTGAAAATTGCAGAGTCAACAGGAAGAGCAGTATAAATAATGATTTGGCCCCCCTGGGTTAATGAGACCTAATTATTTATGCTAATTGTTATATTATTTTAATACTATATCGATACAAAATAGGTTACATTAAGATAATTTTACGTTAAGTTTTATTTAATAAAATTACGGTTCTTACAATTCTTGAAGAAGGGTAAGATTCCCGAATGCTCCCGCCTCGACAACCGTGAGTGGATTTCCTGAAAGGTTTCTAAAAAAGATGAATACAAATAGATTGCAGTCTATTATCATAAGCCGATTCTACTAAGAATCAAATTACAGAGCACAGAAAGTGATTTTACTGTATGAAATCAAATCAGATGTAGAAGCGATCTTTCCTGCTCTCAATGAAGCTTTATCGGAGTCTTGTGTAGCTGGCCTTAACTGAGATCAAAGGAGAAAATCTATCCAAGTGAAAACGAGGGAGTGAGAGCTTTGAAGCTATATTGTTAATAATAAAGTAGTATCCTATAGGTTTGCACCTCGCTTAACATTTCAGTTCAAAGGCAGATACTTACAGCGTTTTCATACGATGGAGACCATCAAAAGTACCTCGAAAAAGACTGCGAATACTGTTCCTCGCCAGATTCCTGTAATTATATTAAATATTAAACACAATGGTGTGTACATCGATACATATAGATCTCAGCATAACGGTTGATAAACTTTACCTTACGTTTCCGAGTTTACTTTGGCACTTTGGCTGTGTTCCGAATCAACTCTGGTCATACTTCAAACAACATGCCCATGCATCTTCTGAATCCCAGGTGGCAACATTTATTACTGAATATAATTCTTACTGTGGCCGCAGTATGATTATCTTAATGATTTCTAATTCTCAATTGCTTCTTGACCACTCAACAGTGTGTTTGCTGTGTGTGTGGGGTGTGTGTGTGGGTGAGTACTTGTGTGTTCTATATACTGTAGCATTATAGCTTAGTATTTCCATCCCTTGTATATCCATTACATTCTTCCCATTCATCTTGCCATATCGTTAATGTATGTATTTTGATGATTATAGGGCCCCGCTCACAAGCTTAGCTAAAGGGGTCCTAAAACCGTTCATTCTATGATGTAATCAAGTTGATTTATGTTGATTAATGTACTATCATCATTCCCTTTTTTTATGTAAAACATTATATCATGTCTTTTATGGTTTTGAATAAATGAACTTGAATGTACTTGAACATTCCATAGGATCCTGGAGCGGAACCTATATTCAACGATTATTATTCTGCCCTCCAAGTGGACACAGCGTGATTACAATCACCCCTTGGTACCCACAGTTCTACCAGTGACCAGTGTGTTCAAATCTAGTCACGCTTCCGTACCAAGATTCCACAATTTTCTTAGTGGCCATATTGGTTACATTCATTCTCATCACACTGTGGTATCTACATTCCAGTTTTCCAGTGGCCACAGTGGTCCCATTCAGTTTTACCACATTGTGGTATCTATATTCCACAGTTTTTTTCGGTAGCCAAAGTGTGATCGATTTTACTCTTCGGGTATCAATAATTGTTAGTTATTAATATTAGCTCGTCTAGTGACCACAGCACTTTTATTCGTCCTCCTAGCTGCCACAGTGTGACCAAAATAAGCACATTGGTCATGCTGTATTTAGATATTTGGAGAACCGTCCGTGTAGCCATAGTGTAACACACTGACACATATTTTGATATTTTATTGTCTTAACATGTAGTCATTATTAATACACCAACACTTTGCGGCTGTATGATAACAGGGATTCCGACACACCATTTGCCTCCTATAGGTTCGGTAGATTTATCGATCATTACCCGGACATTCATTAGGAGCACTACTTTGGCTCTAAAGCGAACTTCTCAGTAGAAATAAAATTTCTTGTACATAATACACAGGGTCGTAAAGGTAGGCCTACATACTCACAAATTCAAAAGATTTTTGTTTTCCAGAAATGAACCTTGTTGAATTTCTTCCAGAGAAGATGCTTCCAAGCACCTGTAATTAATTCACAAAATAAAACCGGTATGTCCAATTTTCTGTATCGGGCTGGTAAACCAAACCATAAACGAAAGTAGTTACGCTCTTTTTGTATCGTCATTAAGTCTCTAAAACAAAAAAGAACAGGAAATGACATATCGCACATTGCTTCGCAATGCATTTTCGTTGTGATATTGGTTTTATATACTAGCAACAAAAATTATGATAATAATAGTAATAATGATAGTAATAACAATAATAATAATAATAACAATATTAATAATATTTATCGTAATAGTAAAAAGTAATAACTATAATTTCAAAAAGAAATTATACAAAAATATTTATATAATCCAGAATATAAGATACCTCAGTTACACCAACGAGATCGCCCACAGACCGAACAAAAAAGGTTATTACCAGCAGTGACCAAGAATCGTTCGTATTGGAATCGAGGTGGATTTGGTTTGGCTGTGTGACTAAAGTATAAGGCCCAGACCCACTGGAAATCATTTGCTTAAGTTTAAGAAAAAATCACCTAAAACACTTATACACAGAAGAAAAATCAATTATAAACAAAATTAAACAGATACTTACAAAGAAATCAAATATGGCATCATCAGGGGCATGAGTTGATAACTAGTCCCTTCTATGACGTCATCATTCGTCACAATACGTAAGGATGAATTGCACGGGCCATCTAGCTCGTCACAGGTCAGAGATCTAAATAAGATGATGGGTATGATATAAATGAGTCTACACTGCACAAACAGGGAGAGTTAAGGGACTAAACGTATTTTGTTCCAATGTTTAAGTACACCAGCACTTTCAAAAATGGACACTAACATGGAATGAAATATATTAAAAAAATAGGTTTCATCAGGTTTGTCTTCATGCTTAACATAAATCAATAATTTTCGAGTCAAATCAAATCGGTTCCCTCCTGCGAAAAAGTTGTTTAAGCATTTATTCAATATTTTCACATCATAACTGCTCCGTAAGCATACATTTTCACATTTCCTCTTTTCAGAAAAAATAAATCAGTTCAAATATTACCTATACTACCACAACTGCGTGTACTTAAGTGCATAACCTTGTAAATAAATTATTGTGAAATATATATATTATATATTATTTACAATTTTCTGAGCTGGCGGGGGAGGAGCCTAAGATCCACCTGGTCCGAATGGCAGGAGTAGGATAGTGCATCACACTCACAGCCTTGGGGGCATTGACCTTTTGGAAAAACAAAATCCAATCCATTAAACATGTTAGTTCAAAATACAAGTATTGAAATTAATTTACTATTTCCTGAAAATGTAAATTTACATTGTCATTCTATTGTTAAAAGTATAATGAAATGGCAGTATCCTACTCGACTATCTCATGGTATTTTTACACATAATTAAACGACTCATGTATACTACCATTCTTCTTCTTTATACCAATCATGCAAATATTAACACATTTTCATTTTGTTTTAAGAGTTTTTTTGTGTAGTAATGTAAGTTTTTAATGTACTGCAAGGCATTTTTTTTTACCACATTGACTACTTTACCTGGATCTATACTACTTCATCAATATTCAATGATTTATTTATTGATTCTGTCGTTGATGCTGTTGTTGTATCGTTGTTGAAAGATCAACTGGTTTGAATTTGTAACTTCAATGTACACAAGCCTAATGTAATACAATACAGATTAAAAGTAATTTGCTGTACAGAAGTATGAATGATACCATATGTTCATTTGTGTAATTACCACCAAAATAGTGAATATAACATACCACAGAATTCCTCATCGTCTCGTTCGGGACAGTGTATGAGGTCATCGCACACGTGATCAAGACTGATACAATAGTGTTGCCCATGACATCGGTATGAGCCATCCGGGCATTCATACTCATCTACGTTCGATGTATACAGGGGTGGAGGTTCAGAGATATGACACAGAAAAATACATTAACTCTTTAAATGCCACATAATTAATCTCAATGTGCCAGCTTGCATTTATCATGGGATAGATATATTAAAGGCTACAAGATTCTTTTCGTTTTCTTTTATGGACCTACGAAAGTGCTTAATTGATTTGAAAAAAATGGCAATGAATAGTTCTAAAATTCCAAGATTCACAACAAACTTAGAGCTCGGGCTATATAACTACGACGTAATTAGTGGTTAAAAGAAAAATGTAAATTCTCGAATTCGAACCCCCAAATCAATGCTATCATTCAACCTAACATGTCAATATGGTTCTGCAATCTTTAACTAAATGGCTCTGAAACTGCGAAATTCTTTCAAACTCCCAATCGACTAGTGTATGCACATCTTATTATAAATTGAATCCATCCATCTGATCTAATGAAAATCGTTAACCAAAGTCACCGCAAAAGGCTTCATCTTCTCCGGAGGGGCAGTCCATTTTTCCGTCGCATCGATATCGGAGGGGGATGCAGTAAGAAGAGGGGCACTTCAGGTATGACTCTGGACACTCAAAATTACCTGTAAAAAATGAATATTTAAAGAATGTTAATTGAGATCAATGTGTGATACACGCGGTTGCGTAATATGTGTGACAAAAATAACAATGCAAATGTGTAAAATGACCTGTGAAAAAAACATAAAGCCCTTGAAAATGACAACTCTTTTAACTGGCAATTTGTAGGCAACATTTGAAATGGCAAAAATGCCCTACACTTCAAAGTCGTCGTTAAACTAATTATCATGTTGCCAAAAACGAAGGAAAACAAAATTATATAGCGTTTAGATTAAGCATTTTAAGACTCGTAAATACTAAACATCATTGAAATTAAAATGGCGCCTACCACAAGCTCTTAAATGTGTGACGTCACGACATCCGGTGAAGAAGCCATATTCATCTAGTTCATGAAGACACCGTGTTGTGTGTGACGCGCATGCTCCGTTATTGCACGTGATATCTGTAGCCGAATTGCAGGCATCACCAAGAGTGCTATAAGCTGTGCAAAAGAAGTGGGTAATCGAAACATTTAATTTGGCCAATAAATCGAATTACTAACATTTTCAAATGTATTCATACTTTTTAAACAAAGTGTGTTCTTGCCAAATTGAAAGCTTACCCAAGGCTCGCCCGACATAGCAAAAAGTAATGTACGTAGACTGGATTCCGAGTATTGCAGTTCATTCATTAATAACAGGTTAATGGAATCACTCGTCACTAGGTCACCAAGAAAGAAACATACATAAATGTTAATATGTTATTAAACCGGTATAGGCTATTAGTCTAATGATGCACAATGTAGGCTATCATTTTTATAATAAGGTAACACTTTGGGAAAGACAATACAGTGAAAAGTATGCTTTATCTAAAGACCATCTCGCCTTTCCTATAATTCATTTTCAGGTAGGATCAATATATTTGTAACATTGATCAGTACTGCAGATAATTAATAACGTTACAACTAGAAGCTGGATAATTAGTTTTGTATTTAATATGAAGGAAAAAAAACACTCTTTGACCGGGTTAAATACTCAGTAGTTGTCCGGGTAGTAGTAATTCGGATTGGATTTGGTGATGCATGGGATCACAGAGTGATACTCACCACACTCAGATTCATCCTCGTTCGTATTTCCTATGCAGTCGATCACACCATCACAATGAACCTGCCTTGGAAAAAGCGAACCGTCGTAGCACTGGAAGGCAGAATGAGAAAGCTCCAAGACTGTGTCAGGGGAAAAGGGGATAGAATAGCATAAATTTGTGTTTGGGCTTCTATTACGATAGTTTTGTTGTTTTTTGTTGTTGTTTTTATTTCCGTATAATAAAATCAGATAAATACATAAAAAGTAATTATACAGAGAAAAGGGACAAAGTACGGCTGGTATCTCATTTTCAGCTGCAACTGTATTGTTGCTGCTGGTCTTCCATGGGGCCACAAAAGTGTGGAAGGTAGAATTTGAATTCATTCCCTAACAAATAGAAAAGTTTAAAGTTGACAAAAAATTGCCCGAAATATCTAGAATAGAATAGGTTTAAGGCATTACAATAGTTTTGCCTTACGTCGTTAAAATAGTTTGAAGTTGACAAAATCTGCCGAAAACCTCCAGGACATATTCTGACAGATAACCGCGACTTCAGAATGCAATCAGATTTAACCTGATTAGAAAGCGGTATTGATGTTTAAATTGTATTCCTATTTCATCTTATGTTTAATACCAAGTCACGATACCTTTTTTGCATTTTCTAATAAAATATTTCACGGCAAGATATTGAGATTGAACAACTTGTCAAATGTCATTATAATTGAGTGCCCGAACGTGGAAGATACGACGATTATCTCTTTTACCATGAAATTCTCTTTTTACCATTAGATCTACATTGCCCGCTTTAGTTTAGTAATTTAATTGGTCTGAAATGTATA